GTTTATTGTCGAGACATTTCCTCCTATTTTACTTGGCGTCTTGATAGTTTTTAACCAAAGTTCATCAACGAAACTTTAATCTATACTAACATTATAAAGAGGCAGAATTTGTTTGTTTGAACGCGCTATTCTCAGGAACTACTAATCAAATTAAAAAAATCTTTTTACATTAGATAGCACGTTCATTAAGGAAGGCTATTGGCTATAATATAACATATAATATATCGTCTATCTATTCCATACTAACCGTTAAAACGTACCGTAAATAATAAATACAAGTTATCTATATCTACAGATACCTGAATAAAAGTGAAGTGTCAATTCGTAATCTCAAAATAACAGCTTGTCACTAAATGCATATGAAATTATATACGGTAGGTACTTATAAGAAAAACACAATTTTTAAAAATTTTGTCTGTATGACTGTTTGTTCTGGGTAATCTCCGAAACGGCTGGACTGTTTTTAATGGGACTTTTAGTGACAGACAGCTGATGTTATAAGTCGCTAGTTGAAAATATAATTCCACGTATGAAACTACGGGCAATATTTAGTTAAAAATAATTGTTAATATAATCGATTTTCTTATAAGGAGTTACTAAAGTCCAACTCGTAGTAAGCCGGAACAAGCGTATCAAATATTAATAGAGGTTTAATGTCAAACATCGCGGGTACGGTTAGAAGTAATCTATAATTAGAAGCTTGTTACATTTATGTAACATGTCGAGGCACGCCTTGTTGTAAAACGATAAGAAATTAAATGAGATGGAGCAAAAAATTTGTATTGAATGCGTACATGTGTAAAGTAATAGCGGTTGAAAGAATATAGTAATGTGACTGATACAAAACAATCATATTTTTTTTCCAGGGCATGAATTAGCAAGTGGCAAGAGCTTGTTTTAATTCATTCTTAAATTCCAAACTTTTAAAAATAAACAAAACAATATTAAAAGATACAAAACTCAAAAAGGGAATTTAATTCTCGCAGTATTTTTTTTATTACTGTAAATAATTAATTTTTAAAATGCTGACGAACGAGATAAAATAAGAAAAGAAAGATAATTAAGCTGAATTATTATCTTAGATATAATCTGTGATAGGGAGTGCGGTTTCACCCAATTTATTTGGCAATCGGCCATTTTGATTTATGAAGTGTGAACGGCTCTCGCTTCTTTCTATCAACGCTCTTTACGTTTGAAAGTTTAAAATAAATAAAAAAAGGTATAAAATTAATTACTTTTGTTAAATGATTGCGCTTATTAGTTTTTTTAATAATAATAATTAAAAAAAACTAATAAACGCAATCATAAATAACTCAATGAATCCTATAAATGTAAACTTTATTTTAAAGATGAAGAATTTATTGAAAGGAACACCCAATATTTTTCTGCAATATGGAATTTAAACCTAAAATTCGGAGTCATATGAACTAGCCACTAGAACCAAGTAATTTAAACCAATGTTATTATTATTTTTTTCATAAAATTCTATCTAATTAGTTACATAAGACTTTTAAGTTATTTTATATTTTAAATAGTGGAGAGTAAGAATTAGTTGTTGTATTCCACTATCTGTATATGCGTTATAATTTATGAATATATTTTGAACGATAGCTTCTTCGGCGTTCTATCTCCGTGTTGACTTGCAATGATTGATGAGGTTCCGTCTCGAGAATAATAGTACATAGCGGGAAGCATCAATTTAATATTATTTTTGTTTATTTTATAATTACATTTGGGTAACAATTATAACGATTGCATAATAATTATATTACTTGTAGATATATTAAAGCCAAAATAATCAACTATTGTGTGTCTGTCTGTTGAATAGCGTATTACTCGAAAAGAGTTGGGTGGATTTTAATAAAAGCATATTTGTTACAGATCATAGTGTAAAATGGAAACATTATATGTAGCTACATAGATGTTATTTCAATTACGTAGAAAATTGTATATTGAATAAATATGTTGTGACATTAACACACAGCACCATCTAGTTCCATGGTAAGCTACGAGGCCTGTGTTATGGATACCAGATAGTTGATACACTATATATCTATGTACTTGTACATACAGTTTTTACGATTTTAAATATTGTAATATACCTTAAAAATGTGATTAATTTAATTATTAAATCCTATTACAGAGAATCCCAGAAATTTTAGGAAAAATAAATTTATACAGTATACAAAATGAGCTTTATGAAGCATCGTTTATTTCACATTCATAATTAAAGATATCAGGAGTCGCGTTGATAGTTCAGTGAATCGCTCGAGGTCTTATTGATGCATCGTTTTATTATTCTGTAAGACTGAATCCTCGACCGTGAATATGAATAATACAAGACAGGAACAGTCTGGTATAGTTATATACATTGAATGAACCAGCGAATTTTCTATACTTTGCACACTTTTAGTTACCCCTTAACTACGACCGTGCCAGTGTAATGGACAGTGTGTAATGTCATTACACCAAAAATAATAAATAAAAAATGGCACGTCTCAAGCATGCTTTAAACATCCTAAGATAGTTGTCAACATAATTTATGACAAATAATATGGAGGGTAGCCTCCATAACAAATAACGACAAGAACAGTTAATTGTTAATGGTCGTGTGTAGAGCCAGAGAGAGACAAAAACATTTTTCAAAATTGAAATTATTAGACAATATTCTAGATTGTGAATACTAGAATGTTCTTTGTTTCTGCATTATAAAAAAGGCCGGCAGTGTGTCGAGAGATCAGTTGAATTTCGGAGCTAAGAGAAAAAGTAAAGAAGTGTAGAAAAGTGGATAGGTAAAAGTGAAAGTGTAATAAGTGGTGAAAAATATCGTTCAGACTTAATCTAGCTGAACTGTGTGTGTTGTGAAACGTTATAAATTACACTTAAATACCAAAAGTAATATCAACCTTAGTGCTTTTATTTTCGATCTCCGAACTCATAGAACATAACAATATGCTTTAAAATATCCATACACAAAAACTGAAAGATATAAGATAATGATAGAATATCTAGCTCTGGATACGAGCAGAGCCACGGGCAGAACTAGTGAAGCTTAACTTCAGTTGTGCGGATGGGGCTGACACAGCCGCTCGAGGCTACGTTGATGTATCGCTTTGATTGGAATCGTGAAGACCATACTATTCGTCAGTCGTGAGTTATATCGTGAGCTGTGGGAATGACTATTCACTGTTCTAACTTAATAAGTACTTGACCGTGCTCAAGTATGTCTGCTCTAAGACTCTACTATTTATTATTTTCGGGATAATTTCCTGTAAGAAAATATAAATAAAGAGAGAGAAAAAGAGAGAAATAACTGCCTCTAATAATTTGATATATGACAATATGATGGTCTATATAAAATATATATATAAAAAAAACAGATAGATGTAATTAATACTATTTCATGTAAACACTAATATATTTTTTCCGAAAAAATCCACTTTCGATTGTTTATGTCTAAATGTGTCACCTAAGATGAAAATTCCCTCATTCCCCTTTTCCCATCAACACAAGTTACCTTAAGTCTTGAAGTTTTAGTCAGATAAAAACTTCATGACCCTAGTGTATCGATAATAACGTTTATTTCAATAAGATTTTCCAAAAAATATTTAATGTACATATTCGGCTTAGTTACAATTTTATTATATGTATAGATTATTATTACGAAGAACTAGCTTTGACGTAGGTCTATTTTTCCTACAAAACCTTTTACAATAAAATTATAAATTCAAAAAGAGGACAAATGGCTCATATATCGAATGTGACGATATAAATTCATTCGCCACGGGACGCCTTCGCTACTAAAGCCAGGCCAGCTACTAGGCATCTACGTGTTATAAACAGTCATATTATATTGCCTGCCATTTTGTATTGCAACGTAATGGGATTTATTAGGTACTGAGGATCTTCTAGGTTGGTGGTCGAAGGTTTTATTTTGTCCAAGAAAGTGGCTATTAAGAATTTCTTCATGTCCTGGTGACAACTCAACAACTCAAATTCAACTCTCATTAGAATTAGATATATAAAAATATAATATTTAGATATATAGAAATATTTTACATAGAATACTCTATAGAGAGAAGATTAAGCTTGAAGTCAAAAATTATAATCTCCGTTAAATCACTATTAAGTTTACTTTTCGTTTATTTTTTAATTTATCATAGTATTTTGTTATAATTAAATTACATCAATAAATTCTAACGATGTAGTATATTTTAATACACGAGGTTTGAACTTGTAACTGCACCCCCTTGTACGGGGGGCTGATAGGGGGGTCCCGGCGCCCATAAGTACATTTTACTGAAGTTTTAGATACAGAAGCTATATATACGTACCTACGAGCACATCTGTAATCACACTATCATAATAATATAATAACGCTAGATTATCTACTGATTTAACGTGAGCGTAATTGCGCATAAAAACTTGTACCTAATATAAAATGATACTAGCGATGTATCCTCGATCAGCTCAGGCTCTAAACACACATAGCACACAAAAATTATTTTTAAAACATTTATATTCTATGAAAACCACTTAATTTCCCAGAACAAAACAAACCGTCATACTAGAAAAAGCCTATGAGGCATCAAACTGGATAGACAAATTGAGTACGTTTTGAAGTCGGTCCGAAATACAACAATCCGTTGCGTCTTAGTTGTATGAAGGAAGGATATATCAAAGAAAACAGCCGTTTATTAGTGATTTTTTTTTATTCACTAAGGGTGATTACTTTCCCCTAACTAAGGGCACATGATTAAATATCCCTAGAGACAGATCTTTATACAAAGATGCGACGATAGGTACACTACATAAGACGACGCTGTGAATGTATTCTTTTGAGCGTGACGCGATTAGCTAACTGTCCAACTGTGTGTGCTCAACAGCTTAAGCCGGAAAAAGACAATTTTGTGAAGGGTAGCGTGTTCGTGAACTTGTGTTTTGTCTCTATAGGAATATTCACTCGTCGGATAAGATTTTGAATGAATGATTTAGCTAACCTCGTCCACAGCATCGACGTTTGCGCCGGCGCGTATGAGAGTGGCCACGCGGCCCGCGTCGCCGCGCGCCGCCGCCTCCAGCAACGCTACCATGCGGCTACGCCATCACTGAAATCAACAAACAAACGGTTTTGATATTATTTCATATGTAATGTCGGGATATACAATATGAAATTAAATAAAAATTAATAAATATCTATATAATAAAAATGCTATATAATAAAAAAAACGTTGTTCGTTGGTAAAAGAAAAATTAATAAAAAATAAAATAAAAATCTTTATTGGAACAAAGTGAAAGTTACATATATAGATTGTACGATAAAGATTACATTAGTTAAAAAAAAGAAAGTTCTAAAAAAATTGTTTTATTTTTAAACAAATATTTGAAGAAATTTAAAATGCAAAGATTAACAAAACAACCTCAAAGAAGTGCATGAGGCTGCCTGTGTATAACATATTAATTTTAATATACAATTAATCTTATTATTACTTTACTCTTGCCAAGCCTGTTCAAAAAAAAATTGTCTATAGTCATTGAATAAAAAAAAATCGATTTAGGACAACCCTTTCATTTTTTTATATGTTAAAACAATGATGACAGATGGATGGATGGACTTATAATATATGTCAATGTAAATTTAGATCATACATAATTCATAGTACATCATTCTTTTCCAAACAACATCACATATGTTTCACATATAGTGAAAGGTATTCACTTACTGTACGAAATGTAAGTCGTCGCTGTTATCTTTTATTAAATTATATTATAGATATGTGTTTATACAATAGATTTGTAGAAAGATCTATATTGTTTGTTAAAAATTATTGATTGAACTAGAAGAATTCAAAATTGTTGTTCCCTAAAAAAAATTTTAATCGATTGAATCTATACATATAATAAAATTCTAACTGGTCGAATCTGTACATTTAATATTTTTTGCAAAATATTATTTAAATAGTCATTAATATCGATACGGAGGCCGAATGTATAGTTCTTAGAATTTTTGTCTGTCTGTCCGTCTGTCTGTCTGGGAACGCATCACAAGATTAACACTAATTGAGTTTTTGCAATAATTGCCAAAAATAGACATTCAGACTACAGACAAAATTTTATATTTAAAAATATTTACCTACTAGCTAGTTTAGATGCAAGTCTGCTCTAGCCCTAATTTTTTATTTACGGTCGAGTGTAAACACAATGCACGCACGACTTGTTTACTTTGAACTGGCGACCGCCCGCGACTTCATTTAAATTCATACTTAATATCTCTCGACATCTATTTATCTTTACACGTCAAGCACTCTGTGCTTGACGATACAAACTGTGCTTCATAATTGTATCGCGAGTTTTATTTATTAAGCCGATACGAGGTTAAATAAAATTTTAAAAGGTACACTGAATTCGTAAGCGTTACTTTCATCGTAAGACAAGTGGTGTAAGTGGAAATGATTCGCTGATGAAATATGAGAAGAGCGAGACGCGGGATTTGAACCCGCTTCACTCGGTTTTCTTTTTTTTATTTTGTCCTCTATGTGTCTTCTCCGAATCCCTAGCGGTCTCATGGCGCACTCTTAAGTAAAATATTAAATTATACAAACTATATAATTATAATGAAGTTAGCACATGACTCAAGTATATAGAAAAGAACTGTGGGTGTGCGAGTCTTACTAGCAAATGGCTGATTTTTCTGTTAAGATGAACTTGAACTTTAACAAAGATGGACAATAATATAGGATTTCCTCTTTACTCAAGGGTCCAAACATTACAAAAGGAGTATGTGAATTCACTACTAGCAGCTGCTGGCATTATCATGTAATTACAATTTAGGTATATACGCTTGTGTTCGCCTAGTGATTGAAATTCGAATGTAATCATTATTGATTATTTATTTTAATAAGATATGCTTATACTTTATTAAAATTTACCTAATTATATTAAAAAAAACTATTTCCAAATTTTGTTATTGGTAACACTAAAGCACGTTAATACACTAATAAACAAAAAAAGAAAATCTGTTGTCAAAGACAGGGGAAAAAGATGCTGTTTTGTCTTTACCTATTTATAGGTATATAGATTACATATTATGTATGTATGTGTAATTAAGTATTTATTTAAATTGAGTGTTTCCAAAAATAGTTATAAATAAAATTGTGTTATATGGGCCCTATATAAAGCTCAATGTGGATTAAATAGAAATATATGTATCTACGGGTATACATATGTAATGTCCCTGTTGTTGCTCTGTAAAGAAAAACAACTATTTAATATTTATTTCAATTGTTGGCAAAGGCCTATTACCTACCAAACATTAAAAGATATTGCTTTATAAAAATTTTTTCAACTCTTTTTAAGTTTTTATTCTTTATGTCGTACAAACCACAGATTAAATTTCAGTTACAGAATGGTACAGATAATATATATTTTACTAAATTAGAAGAAAATGAAATGGGAAACATCTTCATTTGTAAAGATTATATCTGCAGACGAAGCTTAGTTAGTATAGAAATTAAACGCTTTATGCCTACTTTATTGTAACTGAAAAGAAATAAAAGGAACCGTGTCGATTTGCTCATACCATTTATGTGTGTAAGATTTATGCTCTCGTGAGACGTTTATAGTGTTTTAATTAATGCACCAATATATCATCACGGTGAATATGTGGAATGCTTTGTGCGTCGAATAATGATTTTATGTAGCTTTATTAATCATTTTCCTTTTTGATGACCATTTGGTGTAGCCGCGAAGTGGCAACACCTATATAAAGATTTAAAATATTGCAAAGTAGTAGTAGTAGTATGTTATATGTATATGAGTACCAACATTTGTGCTTATCACACAAATGAATGCTCCCAGCGGGACTCGAACTCGCGACTGCTGGCACAGCTGGCACACACATACCCACACATATATTTGAATATTTTTAAAAGATTAATATTTAAGGGTTTGAAATAGGTTAGAAGGAGTCAAATAAGGTAAGTTTTCGTATAACTGACTAAGCCACTGTCAGTAGCTAGGGATTTTACGTTATTTTTCTATTAAAAATACAATAATTTGATAAAATAAAAGTATTTATCCCTTACTTGAGAAATGATTGATTTCCCATGCAAAGTTTCATCCCCCTTTTCACCCCCTTAAGGGATGATTTCCAGGGTAAAAACTATCCTATGTCCTTCACAGGGTCTTAAACTATCTCCATACAAAATTTAGTCTAAATCGGTTCAGCGGATTAAGCGTGAAAAGGTAACAGACAGACAGACAGACAGAGTTACTTTCGCATTTATATATTAGTATGGAAGTATGAATTAAATACCATAGAAATTAAGTTAAAAATTACATTAAGAATGATTCTTCACAAATGTATAATCAAACCACTGTAGATAGATAGCTATCTAACTTACCCGTTAGGCAGGACTTGTACAGTTTAGCATAATATATTTCACTGAAACCGTCTAACTGAATGTAGAGCAGATTTGTAATCGCGCGCGCATCTCGACCGATACTGCTATTGTTTCGATATTTCTTAACGATAATTGTGCATCGGTCGTTTGTGGTCACAACATGAGCGATAGCGGCGTGATAAATCTATACTAATATTATAGAGGTAAAGTTTGTGAGTTTGTGAGCTTGTGAGTTTGTGACGTTGTAGGGGGTAATCTTTAGATCTAGTTATCCGATTTAGACGAAATTTGGTAAGAACATAGTTTAAGACCGGATATAGGATACTTTTATTCCGGAAATAACCCCTTAAGGGGGTGAAAATGGGGATGAGAGTTTGTATGGGGAATCAAGCAAGGGACGAACCCGAGCGAAGCGAGGGTGAGTCGCTAGTGTAGAATAAATGTGCATTACTACTTTTTACCCGCGGGTTCGCTTGAAAGTTAGATACGTCAATAAAGAAAAGTCTAGATTCTGATTCAGACTATAAGCTAAGCTGATATTTTCTTAGATTTATACGAATTGTTTAAAAAAACTAACTTTTCGGATTTTTTCGAGGATTTATTTTGATTTTTGGTTCCCGACTTTACAGCAATCATGGTCACGGGAGAGACTAAGGTTTTAGACGTGTCAATTGGTCCACAAACCAAATTAAATCCGCGTAAAAACCTAAAATATATCTTTATTTAAAATATAATCTAAGCTTACATTATTTTGAATTTTACTCGAATTCTTTGAAACATTACATTCTGAAGTGATAACAAACACACTGACACACAATCTTTGTATTTATAATGTCATTAGTGTGATTAGAGAATAATATTAATATCAACATTTTATGGTTTTCTTGGAATGATTTAATATATTCTTGAAAAGGTAATAACGACAATGTTAATTAAATTAATAAAGTTTTGCTATAGAACTTTACAGCATACAGTAGATATTATGGACCCAGTTATGCAAAAAACAGCCATGTGCGTAAAAGTACCAACAGAGTTATAAGCATTTTTCTGTCGTTAGTTGCACTTGGGTTATGTTTTATTTTTCTGGTTATTTTAAAAATTGAACAATATTTATATAGGTAAGTATTGTTTATTTTTTATAATTATTTTATGTTTTATAATAAAATGCTTATAACTCTGTTGGTACTTTTACGCACATGGCTGTTTTTTGCTTAACTGGGTCCTTATAATGTTTATGCTACTCGTACTAACGTACCATAATATCATTTTATGATCTGAATAAGTGTTAACTAGCTTAACTCATTATACAAATAACCGACGTACGAGTACACCGTTCTAAGGCAGGGCTTCCCAATCTTTCTTCTGTTGAGCCTCCCCAGATTATAAAAAATATTTTCATGCCCCCCCATTATTTTTTTAATCTATACATTTATTATAATAAAATTGTAACTAAGTAGAATCTATACATTAAATATTTTTTGGAAAATCTTATTTAAATTGACATTATTATCGATACAGAGTCCAAATCTATAGTTTTTAGATTTTTTGTCTGTCTGTCCGTCCGTCCGTCCGTCTGTCTGTCTGTCTGTTACCGCATCACGAGAAAACCACTGGACAGATTTTGATGAAATTTGGTATGATGATAGCTGGTTATCCGGATTAACATATAGGATACTTTTTACCGCGGGAAA